CCTTACTGAACACTTTTCCTTGCCTTACTGCACCCCTTTAGCTGTACCTTATTGAACCCTTTACCTGTACTTTACCTCACCCTTTCACTAGTACCTTACTGAGCACTTTTCCTTGCCTTAATGCACCCCTTTAGCTGTACCTTACTGCACCCCTTTACCTGTACTTTACCTCACCCTTTCACTAGTACCTTACTGAACACTTTTCCTTGCCTTACTGCACCCCTTTAACTGTACCTTATTGAACCCTTTACCTGTAATTTACCTCACCCTTTCACTAGTACCTTACTGCACCCCTTTAGCTGTTCCATACTTCGCCACTTTACTTTACCGTACACAAACCCTTTAATGCTATTTTCATGCACCTCCCTACCTGCACTTCACTGCACCCCTTTACCAACTCTTTTCTGCGCTCCTTTACCTCTGCTTTACTGCACCCTTCACCAGCATCGTACTGCCCCGTTTTACCTGTGCTTCACTACACCCTTTTACCTGTACTTTACTGCACCACGTTAGAAAAACCTTACTGCATCTTTTAAGAAAGTAAGATTGTTTATGGATAACAGCTTCTTTTATTATATATGATGCGACGTTTCAGTATGGATTCTTATACCGTTGTGAAGCAAGGGTGAAGTACAACAGCACAGAACAGACTTATATACATGAACAGGGATTAAGTAATAACAACATGTAGGTATGAATCAAGGGGATTAACAACAACAACAAGGCACGGTGGTAATAATGTAGTGACAATAGGAGGAAGCCAATGGTCCTAGAGGCAGAAACAAAATATACATGGCTGATGAGATCAATTAGCAATGATAGCTGGAGTGCTCTAATCTGTTGTTTTTATCAGTTCATTGTATGCAGAAGGGATGAGATATCCCTGGTCTCTGTTGATTGTGGGCTTGTGTCTCCGGATTTGAACTGCTTCTGCAAGTTTTCTTTTGGTGAAGTCCTGGTGGTTTTTCGATAATATCTCTACATTGTCCCAAATTATGTTGTGATTGGGAGAGTTGATGATGTGGTCTGATATTGCCGATTTTCTGTCAGAGTTAGTGGTAGATGATAAGTATTCTTTGATTCTGATATTTATGGGCCGGGAGGTTTCGCCCACATAGGCCTCGCCACAGTCACAGTTGATTTTGTAGACAACACCTTTGGGTTGATGTTGTCGTTTAGAAGTGTTCCTGCCATTAGCTTTCAGTAGGGTTTTCAGTGGTGTAGAGCTGGTAAAGTAGGTTTCGATGCATGCTTGTCGCTTCAGGAGACGGCTGATGTGGTGGGAGGTCTTCCCTATGAAGGGGAGGGAGATACGAATAGGTGCTGGTTCAGGTTTGTTGGAGGCCGGGTTTTCTTGTTGGGTGGAGTGAGGAGCTGATAATTTCATTGACTAGCTTTGACGGGTAGTGGTTGAACTTGGTGAAAACATGGCAGAGGTTCTGTATTTCCAGTGGGACTGGTGGAGGAGAGGTTGATGGCTCGTCTGGTGAGGGTGGAGATAATGCCAGTTTTGGTTCTCAAGGGGTGGTTGGAGTCAAAATGAATGTATTGGTCGGAGTGGGTTGGCTTCTATAGACACTGGTTTGGATCAAGGGGCATCCTTTACATGTACTTAATTCACCACTCTAACTGCACTTTACTGAACCACGTTGCATACATCTTACTGCACAGATTTGCCTTACTTTACTGTCGTCATTTACCTGACATTACTGAAAAAGGCAATAACGACACAGAAAGGGTGATGTAGTTAGGAATACCACACCAAGTACATTAAATCTATAAATCAGGTGTATGATAGACAGGAAGCTACGACTGTTTACGGTGCAAGTGTATCCTATTGTGATAATAATAACTAGCATACACGGTGCTCATTCAACAGGAAACATGACAAAATGCATTAGCTTATTTGTAACGAAATGCATGTACCGGAAAAGATTTATTCTGTTCAGTTTCTGGAAATCACGTGTTTCTCTGCGTGACTGTGCAAAACTCTCTTTACCTTGCAGCCATAACTTCCTTTTGAAACTAATATCAGAGCATATTTACAGAACTCACGGTTACCAATGTGACAGGACGAGAGTTTGGTTTCAAACGAATTCCCGCAACTGACCAATTATTACATTGTAATCATAATTGACTAATAATAAGTTGCTTCCTCATTGTAACACGAATCACACTCAGTATTCGTGGTCCTAAAACGTTCATTTGGTATGCAAGTTCAAAGCCAGATCAGTCCTAGGCACCTAGCACTTTGAAGATCAATCTGAACAGAGGGGACGGGAAAATAGACATCAAGTTTTAATCTTGTTAAAATGCAAATTGAAAGGAAATTTGTCAAACATTTATATGTCTATTCAACCATCTCTCATTCCTGCAAACAGTTTGGCCCGGTAATTTTGTATAAATAATTATATTCCAACCACCCGACTTATTTATACTGTAAACATGTGTCAAAAAAGAATATTTATTGATTTTCGAAGATAGTGTCATCTGGTTTGTATTGTGCTATTCCATTCTAATTTTTAAAATAATATTTTAATTCAAGGTATATTAGTTTTTAATTACACACATTAGAACTATTGTTTAGATATTTTGAAAAAGAACATGATAGTGTATTTTGGGGATATGATATCGCTGATTTCCATTGAAATTTGAACATGTGATCAAATTTGAGAGAGAATGTTGTTTGTTGTAAAAAAATATATGATATAATGAAAAGGAGCCCTGAGACTTTCTTCATTTTCAGAAGCTGAGGAAATCTAGACTTGCCACATTTTCTAGACTTGCGTGGGCTTTCTTGGATATATTTGCTTCAGGGTCTGTACGACAGACTACTGTCAATGTTACCACGCAAACTATAGAAACGACTGCATCATACTGAGACCACATCGTAATGTCGCTGTCAGTAACCCATCAATGCTATTAATGCACATGTTTAAAATATGAGACGGACATGTATATTTCTACTGTACCCCCAGCTGCCATGTAAGTCATATATGAACAGGGGCGTTATCAATGACGCCACTGTTGACATTTTTATATAAATAGTTAGTAGTTTGAAAATGACATGAAATGGAACTGGATCTATATTCGTCAACAACAGGTCGTGATACACTTTGGAACAATTCAGGGTGTTTGTTTTGATTTGCCATAGCCACCCCCAGCTACCTGCTATGTTGGGGTATTGATTCAAATACATTTGAAAGTTTTTACCCCAGTACAAACCGTGTCTTCTTTCATTTGTTGTTTTTGTCAATTCACAGATACCTTTCCTACTCATTGTAGCGTCGAACAATCGATTTAGTTTATTAAAAACCCTTTATAGTTCTTTTGTTGCTCGTAATACATCATTAGGTAATTAAGATAATTGGTGGTATGTGGTGTAGTATATTTTATGGTTGTATGGATCACTGAAGAGTGATGTGAACTGATCTATGTGCTGATCTATTGCTGCTGAGAACGAGTTTATTGATCAAGTCCATAATGAACGATTGCTGTCCGTGTTACAACTTTATCAATAAAATTTCTTTGCGGAAACACTCACTCTGTGCGTTTTCTATGTGTGATGTTTAATGACGTGGGCATTGCGCCCCCAAATTTACTTTTGTCATTTTCAACAAATCATTCTGTCTAACACAAACTAGTTCAATTCAAGTCTGTAGGAACAGAGGGAACCCACTAATCAAAGCTCAACCCTCTATGCTGAGTTGCGCCCCTTAGTTGTGCGGATTCGCTGATAGTAGGCTCTGATACAAATGTGTAATACTGATTCATGGTGCACAGGTAATTTGCACGGACATTGTATATTTACAGAACATTTTTACTGGCATGTTTTAACGATTTACAGTGTGTGACACGTTCATAAAATGATTAGGGGTAAGATATGAATTGATAAACTTTCATTTATACCTCATTATAAATATACTGATAATATAACCGTTTCCCTGAACATTTGGTAATCTGTTTAATCCGGTGAATTAATACCCACTGACATCGGGACTACTGACAGAGACATTCTGATGTTTTTCTTGACATTTCCTCCACATAAACGAAAGCATTACCATTAGAATTCTCTGCTAAGGTAGAGGCCACAGTTAATGGCACCAATCACATACACATGCAAAGGCAAGTCAATTGTTAACCTGATAAATCTCAGAAACATACGGTATAAGACAACATTGGGAATTGCATATAACATCATTATAGTCGCTGATGTGTCAAATTTAGAAATGTTCTTAACATGTCCACCATAAAATCTTCTGGAAGCTTTACTGAAGCCTCGAATCTTGTGACCCTCATGTAAAGCCGTGGGAACATGAATCATATGACGCTCGTCCGTTACCTATTGGTATACTTCCGACAATGTGTGACGTTGATGCAATATGCCTATGTTGAAGAGATCGTCATTTAACTATGACGCTGATGCAATATGCCTATGTTGAAGAGATCGTCATTTAACTATGACGTTGATGCAATATGCCTATGTTGAAGAGATCGTCATTTAGCTATGACGTTGATGCAATATGCCTATGTTGAAGAGATCGTCATTTAACTATGACGTTGATTCAATATGCCTATGTTGAAGAGATCGTCATTTAACTATGACGTTGATTCAATATTCCTATGTTGAAGAGATCGTCATTTAACTGTGACGTTGATGCAATATGCCTGTGTTGAAGAGATCGTCATTTAACTACCAATATCATCCTGTAGCAGTCTTACCACCCAGTTTTATAAATGATTATCTGCTTTAATCCCTGTTGCAAGATCACTATATACTAACCTTACCCTGTCATTATCCCTTTTATTTAACAGAGTGTAATATATGCACATACGTTTACTACCATTCCTTTTCACTTCTTTTACCTGTGGTAATATTAGTGTCGTATTTCCTTATGTTTCATATGTTGTCTATTTTCATATCAGAGTAGTTATGAAATGTGTTATATGAATTTTCTTTAGGATCGTGAAGTATTATCTTTACTAATATGTACTTCCAGGACTATCTTCACCAGTTATCAGCTTGAGGAGCTGGAGAAGGCATTCAAAGATGCCCACTATCCCGATGTACAGACCAGGGAGGTTTTAGCCATGAAGACTAGTCTACCTGAAGATAGAATACAGGTAACACCAGCTGATCTCATGTCCCTAGAGGTCGGGTAGCCTGGGACTGTGGTCTCGGACACTGACGTCTACATCTGGTTTGTGTGTACCAGATTAATAACAGGAATATTGCTGATTGCACAGGAAATATTAAATATCGTGGTAGACATGGTCTGCCGGTTTTATGCAACAAACTTAAAATGTGTGTGCAAATATTGTGTATGGAATTTGTATGTATTTTGGAAGGGATAGTGATCAGTTTTCCGGGATGAGTGATATCACGTGCTCGTCCTGTGTGAAGGTAGAAATCAGGTGCTCGTCCTGTGTGAAGGTAGATATCAGGTGTCCGTCCTGTGTGAAGGTAGATATCAGGTGCTCGTCCTGTGTGAAGGTAGATATCGGGTGCTCGTCCTGTGTAGCGATCAGGTGTCAGTCCTGTGTGAAGGTAGATATCAGGTGCTCGTCCTGTGTGAAGGTAGATATCAGGTGCTCGCCCTGTGTGAAGGTAGATATCAGGTGCTCGTCCTGTGTGAAGGTAGATATCAGGTGTCAGTCCTGTGTGGTAGATATCAGATGCTCGTCCTGTGTGAAGGTAGATATCGGGTGCTCGTCCTGTGTAGCGATCAGGTGTCCGTCCTGTGTGAAGGTAGATATCAGGTGTCCGTCCTGTGTGAAGGTAGATATCAGGTGCTCGTCCTGTGTGAAGGTAGATATCAGGTGCTCGTCCTGTGTGAAGGTAGATATCAGGTGTCAGTCCTGTGTGAAGGTAGATATCAGGTGTCCGTCCTGTGTGAAGGTAGATATCAGGTGCTCGTCCTGTGTGAAGGTAGATATCAGGTGCTCGTCCTGTGTGAAGGTAGATATCAGGTGCTCGTCCTGTGTGAAGGTAGATATCAGGTGCTCGTCCTGTGTGAAGGTAGATATCAGGTGCTCGTCCTGTGTGAAGGTAGATATCGGGTGCTCGTCCTGTGTAGCGATCAGGTGTCAGTCCTGTGTGAAGGTAGTGATCAGGTGTCCGTCCTGTGTGAAGGTAGTCATCAGGCGTCCGTCCTGTGTGAAGGTAGTGGTCAGGTGTCCGTCCTGTGTGAAGGTAGTCATCAGGCGTCCGTCCTGTGTGAAGGTAAATTATCAGGTGTCCGTCATGTGTGAAGATAGTGATCAGGTGCTCGTCCTGTGTGAAGGTAGATATCAGGTGCTCGTCCTGTGTGAGCGATATCAGGTGTCCGTCCTGTGTGAAGGTAGATATCAGGTGTCCGTCCTGTGTGAAGGTAGATATCAGGTGCTCGTCCTGTGTGAAGGTAGATATCAGGTGCTCGTCCTGTGTGAAGGTAGATATCAGATGCTCGTCCTGTGTAGCGATCAGGTGTCCGTCCTGTGTGAAGGTAGATATCAGGTGTCCGTCCTGTGTGAAGGTAGATATCAGGTGCTCGTCCTGTGTGAAGGTAGATATCAGGTGCTCGTCCTGTGTGAAGGTAGATATCAGGTGTCAGTCCTGTGTGAAGGTAGATATCAGGTGCTCGTCCTGTGTGAAGGTAGATATCAGGTGTCAGTCCTGTGTGAAGGTAGATATCAGGTGTCCGTCCTGTGTGAAGGTAGATATCAGGTGCTCGTCCTGTGTGAAGGTAGATATCAGGTGCTCGTCCTGTGTGAAGGTAGATATCAGGTGCTCGTCCTGTGTGAAGGTAGATATCGGGTGCTCGTCCTGTGTAGCGATCAGGTGTCCGTCCTGTGTGAAGGTAGATATCAGGTGTCCGTCCTGTGTGAAGGTAGTCATCAGGCGTCCGTCCTGTGTGAAGGTAGTGTTCAGGTGTCCGTCCTGTGTGAAGGTAGTCATCAGGCGTCCGTCCTGTGTGAAGGTAAATTATCAGGTGTCCGTCATGTGTGAAGGTAGTGATCAGACGTCCGTCCTGTGTGAAGGTAAATTATCAGGTGTCCGTCATGTGTGAAGGTAGTCATCAGGCGTCCGTCCTGTGTGAAGGTAAATTATCAGGTGTCCGTCATGTGTGAAGGTAGTGATCAGGTGCTCGTCCTGTGTGAAGGTAGATATCAGGTGTCAGTCCTGTGTGAAGGTAGATATCAGACGTCAGTCCTGTGTGAAGGTAGTCATCAGGTGTTCATGGTAAGTGAAGGTAGTGATCAGCCGTCCGTCCTGTGTGAAGGTAGTGATTAGCCGTCCGTCCTGTGTGAAGGTAGTCATCGGGTGTTCATGGTAAGTGAAGGTAGTGATCAGGTCGCCGTTCTGTGAAAAGGTGGTGATCAGTTACTGCTATTTCCCCACACAAATTCTGAAGCATTAGGTCTTTAATGTAATCATTCTAGTGTTGTGTTTGCTGTCAGTAGCATTAAACTAGTTTGAATGCTCCAGCAATTTGTGCGATTATTACTCAGTCATTGTTCAAAGATGCCCCGGGGTTTTGGTCAGGGTATTTATATATATTTTACCTATTAACATGTAAGGCTAACCTTGATAGAATATCTAGAAAGTCAAGGTTTATGTGACAATCATCTCCATTTGTCCAGTGTCTAGATATATGAAACAGCTATTTCTTCACGAAGACAGTCGCCACTGTGTAAACGCTGTGCGTATTGTATGCAGGCAGTGTGCGATGACTGCATGGCTTTTTACATCAAACAGACCTTCCCGACCGAAAAATATACCTCCATCAAAGCGATTGCCAATTCTAACGATATTTTTCACTGTGCAAACACTTAACACAAAAGCCCAATTTTCAGTTTATGCGATTTAGGATAGCAGGAGTTCTAATGGTTTATTATGTGCCCTGTTAGAGTAAAATAGTTCTCGATGAAAGATACTGTTATTCCTGTTAATAACCAATCAACTCTGGGCTGTGTAACTGGCCTGGCTTGTAATAAATGAGGGCAGTAATGAAAAATGTTGTTTTATATTCACGGTAGCGATAACAGTAAATGGATCACCGTTTAAGTCAATAACTTGATAGGCAATCCAGCTATCTCAGTGAATTACAGCTCGTTTAGAAATTAAAGGTGTGGTAATTGAATTTCATTGTGATTCGGGTTAGAGCTGGGAAGGACGAGCTTGGGGAATTGGACGGAATGAAAGTTGCTTCATATCGCCCCGCGCAGTTGGAAATTCACTTTCAAATTACTTCTTCCATTAAGCAATGATTTTATTGGCAATTCCATCGTGCTATTTCATATTTATAAGCTTTAGTTATGGGGATAGTTGTGAACTTATTTGACTTTTTCCCTTCGTAATGTAATCACATTATATGCCACAAGTAGTGGTGCACACGATCACGGTGTTTGGAATTTAATAGGCTAATGGCTGTCTTGGGATGTACGCCGCTTTTTCGTTTCATTTTGGAAATTTGTGTGTTAAGTGTAAAGTCACATATGGTTCGAAAATGATTCCAGGATTTGGGCAGAATGTTGGAATGCACAACATTATAATGTGTGGCATTCTCATGTGATTTTCGGCATCAAGAGTTCAATATCATTCACATCGTTTGGGTAACCAACGCCGAAATATAAATTGAATATATATTTATAGGTGTATTAATATACGCATTGATAATAATCCAACATAGATCTTGTGAATAAGATTCCAATACATAAATGTATGTCTATATACAAAAGAAAACAGTCAGGTCAAGTGTTATCATTTCCCATGCCAGTTTATTACAAGGAGACGATCCTCGGGCAAGTCGGCATCCTCAGCAAGTTTGTTAAACCCAGCAAGCCATAGGTTTCTCCGCTAGCTCTGGGATCACTTATCCATCAGTTAGGGATTACCTTAATACAGACAGACAGACAGATAGTTTATTTGAGTCTCACCTCATATATACAGTAAAAGTACACGTAAAATTGGGAAAATATAGCAGTATAAGGAATATATGAGCCACTCTATAAGAGTTACGAGAGACTTGTATATATGCTAAAGGTTTACACATACACATACATAAGTATACACCAAAAAAAAGGTAAAAATTAAATATAAAACAAAAACCATTAAAAAAATGCGTATACATATCATATGAAAATATATACATACAGAATACTTAAAAGGTAAAACAGGTATACTCAATTAAAACATAATTAATTTATACGATAAAAAGTATACACTCTGAAAGGAGTTTTAAGAATATAGAAGATTACGACGACGCTTAAGTATATTACACAGTGTGTCACGTATACTGACCTAGCCTGGAATCTGGTCACAGATAATCTCAACAGAACATTAATACTCTCAGGCAACTATCCATGGCATATAAAGTTCAATGTACAATATTATTATTATACAATGTACATGTATGTTGGTAGGACAATTGGCTATATTTATGTACATACTAACCCAAATATTTGACAAACACAATAAAGATGTATAAGATGTTCAGTCTCTGACGTGAAGGTTGTTTAAGACTAGGTTAGGTCTACCAATGAATTTGTGTAAATGACGAGAGAGGTTTTATTTTTATTGTTCCCAGGTCAAAACATTTAAGTTCCATAGATTGTGTTCAACAATACAAGAACTATTATTGTTTTAAATATATCAACGCTGTGAAAAAACATACAAGCGTGGTTGATGTTGATGTGGTTGAGCGTATGTGACCAATATAATAGGGTTATGAATTAAGGTCACAAAATGAAATATTCACATACTGGCAGCAGTGATACATATATTAGTTAACACCACTATCTTAGGATCATACACAAACGTACATTCACATAATTAGAGTCATAATTAGAACTTAAAACATATACAAACAACGATGTTACACAATGAGCTTTCCATAAAGAACGTTCCGTACGCTAATTCCTCTTTGATTATATATGGAATATAAATTTTTGAAACTGAATAATGTAAGTGATACTATTGCGCCTAAATAACACAATTAATGGCAAATATTTGTTTCGGCGTCAAGCAACAAAAATATACTTTTTTATTCAAATTGCGAGGAGGGGGAATCGGTAGGCAGGACATGCTCCCCCCCAACACACACACACACACCCGCCCCACCCAAAGTACACGAATTTCAACTTTACTGAGAATCTATATGCGAATCATTTGAATGGCATTGTGTATGCATACTACCTTGCAAAATACAAATCTTTAGAAAATCTATTTGTCGTTCAGTTGGCTGCTTAGACAAAATGTGTTATGAATCTGAAAAAAAGCCCATTGTCCTCCTGGCAAATAACAAATTACTGTATGTCTTAAATTGAGTAATTGCCACCAAATGTCCCCCTCCCTCTCACAGACGGAAACACACACCCCCCCCACACACGTATCCGTCACCTCCCCCCACTTAACCATCACCACGTCCACATAACTATCACCTCCCTCCACTTTACCATCACCTCCCCCACGTACCATCACCTCTACAACACAGGCACGGAATATTAATTGGTCTGTCGCGAAGTAACCCCTTTATGATAGCGAGCCATCAGAAGAATAAACTCTGATAACCATGTAATTTATTAATTCATGTTTTAATTTACATTACCGAGAATTTTATCAGTGCCAACTTTCTGGTTTTAACATTACAAACCCTGCTATCTCCTCAAACCATTTGAATCCCAGAGAGGGCATTTTATGAACGTTATTACATTAGAGGTCAGTGATACAGAGAAGGCCATCTTCTAACATGTTCTGGTATCAAAGTCTGCCAAGCGATGGAACGAACCGAATATCACTCAGTTCATATTACCCATCATTCAATTTTAACCATATCTTTTATATGGAATGTTAATGAAATTGATATTTGCTGAAAACTTAACTCTCTAAAGCGAATTTAATCATTTTAATAGCGCGATAGAGGAGAAGTCGCACCGTAGCACTGATCGTATGTGGTGAGTGAAAATAGTTTTCTCATTCATAATTAAGAATGACTATAAAAAGTCAAAAAATTACTTTTCGATCGCTTCATTAACTATGTTTAATCTTGTTAAAGCAGTTTTTAAGTAGTTGAATCAAATAACCATTACGAAATTGGAACAGAAACATCCAAGTCCATATCACATAAATAAATCTGTAGTCAAACTAGCGATACGTTCCCCAAACGCGTGATGTATTCCCCGAACGCCCTCAAAAGCCTAATTGTTTTCAATTATTGTCGATTTAGGAATTGAAACGAGATTTCGGGAGCTGTAGACGACACGCAAATGTATTGAGAGAAATGATTGGATGAGCTGGTCCCGCGAGAGGGCGCTCGTGATGCGGTTACGGTCGAGTCACTTTCGACAAGCCTTCTTTCATTCCGACAATTGCTTTAGCATTGATTCCCTGTGAAAATCATTTATCTGCTGCGCCAAACGGTTGATACAGAAACATTTGCGCCCACTGTCATTTAATTTTCTATCTACGAGAGAGATTAGCTGTATTCCTGCGTGAATACAGAGGAGTGTGTCTAATCTGAGAATCTAGTCGCGCTTCACGGCTGTCGGCGAGCGTCATGGGCCCGTCGGAGCGCGAACTTTCCAATTACCTGGTAATTGCTGGGACTAGTTTTCGGAACATTGTTTGTCGATTAAAAAGGATTTGACTCGATTAATGGGCATTAACAAAAACTGCGGGACTGTACTCTGGATGGAAAACCCTGTGTACTAAGGCCGACACGTCAAAGCTTCTCAAAGGGGTTTTTCCTCCTATTTATTCTGTGTGATTGTATTTCATTAGGTTTCGTCCACTTAGGTTAGGTTGGTCCGGAAAGCAGAGTTTTCTTTATCAACAAACCCGGCATTTGGGTAAAGACAAAGACTCGCTATAAACCGTATTACCCTCGAGTCACTAATGACTGTCCTCTACCAGAAGGTCAATGTTTAGGTATGTGGCTGCAGGGGAGGAAACACAAAGTTAATCCACATACTCACGGGTAAATGCACATATTTGCGCTGCAATGTCACAGGTAAATAGTCAAGTTTTCTCTGCAACGCTGCAGGTGAATCCTAATAAGCTCGGCAAAAATCCACATATTTGTGCTGTAACGTCTCAGGTAAAGACACGTACTTGCGTTGTAACGTTGTAAGTAAATGCACATATTTATATTGCAAAATCTTACGTAAATCAATATGCAAATACACACATATTTGCACTGCATCATCTCAGTAAATTCTCTATTTGCACTGCATCATTTCAGGTAAATTTTCTTTGCACTGCATCATCTCAGGTAAAATCTCTACTTTGCAATCATCTCAGGTAAAATCTCTATTTGCATTGCAACATTTCAGGTAAATTTTTCTATTTGCACTGCATCATCTCAGGTAAATCCTCTATTTGCACTGTATCATCTCAGGTAACTTCACTATTGCTCTGCAATATCTCGGGCAGATCACAAACCTGTTCTTGTCTCACGTGTAAAGTGTCAGTTAAAAGCTGTACAACTCCACGCATCAGTGATATTTATGTGGTGCTTCTATTTTTCGCTGACACATTATAAGTATATATTAGAGGGTACTTGCCCCAAACTATAAAAATTCGCAGTGTATCACTATGCAGGCAGATGCCAGACATATGCAGTCTGGGGATATTTATTCTGTGGTGTCACTTTTCAATACACTCATCTTAGTTGTAAACAGCTTACAACTTCTGTGTATGTCTTGTGTCTGTCAATCAAATTTCTTCACACAACTAAAGTTCATTACTTATGTTAATCAGACATCTCTACACATGAGCACCGTGACTGCTGTTCATGGTGAACACGTCACACCCACACGTCTCCTCACGTTGGTTAACAATATGCTTCAATCAAAGTTAAATAACAAGACAAAATACACACGTCATTTCATTTTCTATTGTATTTAATTACACAACGAAGCCATTCTACTACGCTTAACAAATAGCCCAGTTAAGACCATTATAATGACTAGACAAGGACCCCTTTGGGATGGTCATCAGTTCGAGTTTCAGCATCCAAAGGGCGTAGCATGCATCGACCTCACAACGAAGAGACCTGTATTATTTTCCCAGGATATTGGGTTAATTTACCACTACTAAAGCCTTTATTATGTGACTCTACTCACGTTTCCTTGACGTTATATTGTGATTAGCTGCAATTCAAATTCGACTATTTATGATAAATAATGAGATCTTATAAGCTACTAGTATATGTATGGTAAATAATGTGAAATATCTTTCCTTTGCTCGGAACGTACTTTAGTTTCTGATTTAACTGAATTATGTTCTCTGCTATGTGCCATTTGAGACGATAGGTCTGGAAACAGAGACATGCTGAATGGATACTTGTTGAACAAATTAATATGAACACAACTATACAATAAACTATACAATAAACTAATTTATAAAGTTGACAAACAAAGTGACAAACTATAATGTATTTCACATTAAGGAGTCATATTGCGTGTTGGATAGTTGGAATTTATAGGTTATGAAAACGTTACGATCCAGTGTTTCTAATTTATGTTTGCGGAAAAGCATTCATATAACGTTCATATGCTTTCTTGAATACAAATCTAGTTTGTTAAGCTATAAGCTTCAGAAACATTCATTTAAAATTATATATAATAGCACAAAATACAATTTGCACAACATTTCTAACACATACCATGCAAGGACAAACATGTTGAATTCACTTACAGTAAAGAAGCTAGGTTTGACGGGGAATGTCGGACCTGTGGCAGGTTAGTACCGTGGTGTAAATAGAAGGGACAAAACGCTTTCCACATTCATAAGAAATCTCTGCTAAAAGCAGAGTTGATTGTACAGTTGTGGCTATATCATGAGCAGATATTTGTTTCAGCAGTATTACAGCTGTATGATGCTGTTTGTAAGCAAATCGGGTCTGAACCAGACAATCTAGTGATTGTTACCATGCGATACGATGACAGAGCATGTGTTTATGACTCACTATGAAATAGTGATGATACCAGGTGTTCGCGAAAAGGTGAGCGTATTCTGCCCCACCGGTGGCACCCGTCATAGACATATGCTGAACAACGACAGCTGGCACACCGGGGATCTTAATCGAGACGGACCTGGGATTCGAACCAAAGATCCATGGGTCAGGTTTGACCACACATAATAATAAATCTTAAGCATGTATTCATAGACCTGGTGTTCACGACCCTGCCCCACAGATGACACTCGTTATAAACACATTCAAATGCTATTCCAGTCCAAAAAAGGATTTGGAAATCATATTGCAAGAACCGTCTTGTCAAAGTTACGCTGAAGTTTTGAATGTTGGAACCCTTTTATGCAAGAGTTTTATGAATATCTTTAAAGTCATAGTAGATTGTATTCAAAACGATTGTAAAATGCACACACAAAAAGAGCTTCTGCTGATATGACATCGTTTGGCATGAAAGAAGAAATCGTTGGCTGGTGGAAAGATGAATCTATCCCTCTTGTCATACCGGCATGTGGATATTCCTTAACTAAAATATTGTTTTTTTCAGGTATGGTTTCAAAACAGACGAGCTAAGTGGCGGAAGACGGAGAAGACGTGGGGACGAAGCAGTATAATGGCAGAGTACGGGCTCTATGGAGCGATGGTCAGACACTCACTTCCGCTTCCGGAAACCATATTAAAAAGCGGAAAAGAAGGAGTTCTTGATTCCTCTGCGCCATGGTTACTCAGTGAGTAACACTTAACTTTATCTATGGTAACTATGTGTATAATTCTATATTGCACCAGTAAAACTAAGCGATATAGCTATTTTGCTAACTCTTGAAAAATAATGGAAAAAAAACCCCAAACAACCCACAAACGGTCGTCCAAGGGCCATTTTTTAATATTACATGTATTATCTGTTATCAATGACTGCTGTAAAAACCTAATTATGAATTTAGATACCATGTTTAATTTCAACTGGATTTCTCAACAATGGAGATTTTGACGAGAAACTCCATCATATTAGATTTCGTTGCCTCACGACTACGTCACTACGGACGTTCTGTATGAATTATTTGACACTCGTTTGCGGTTATCTCACACACTTCATGAAAATTGTGTTAATTATGATCAGTTCTGTTAGTGAACGCAATTACTCATCAAGTCAAATGCAATGGTTTTATGGTACTCGTGGGGGCAGGGGGATTGTCAAGTTTATTGCGTGCAGGACATGATATGCCTTCTATCATTGATCGTTACAGTGATATATGAATCCTTTATCAAGCAACTGATTTATTATTAATGCCAGACGTGTATATGTATACTATTACCCGCATATTATTATTACCCCACGTCGGCATGGGGGGACAAGGGGGACCCAGTTTCGCTGGACAGAATTGTCTCCCTTTCTTATGTTAAGATCCTCTGACTGTGGGTTCCAGATTCTTCCGAATATTTTCCATGAACACCATCAACTTTCCCTAAAAATTAAACTTACACGGCATGATATATATAGTTGGAATACTTTTATTGCTGCATGACATCCATCCCACTAACACTCTCACAAATTGATCAGTGTACATTTTTTTGGATTATATTTAGCATAAAAATATCGGTAACGCACTTGTTCAAAAAACATTATCTTTTAATGAAATTGTATTTGTGACACTGAAATATACTCATTCCAATAATGGTTGTCACCCCCCTCCCCACACCAACCCCACCCCACACCCCCTCTCCAATTAAAAAAATTGAAGGGGGTGACAACCATTATTGGCATGAGTATAGAAACTTTGTTGGTAATAAATTAGAAAAGTTGAAAATACTCTTTCGTTCACAGTGTGATGTAATGTTTCATAGTAAATATGTATTTCTGTATGTTAATGTTTCTGTATGTTAATGTTTCTGTATGTTAATGTTTATTTCTGCCGCTGTGTAGGTATGTATCGTAAGTCCAGTGACCCTCAGACAAGGCTGAAAAGTGATGATGAAGAAAGCCGCGACTGTAACCCGGAAGTGAAAGATAAAGAAGAGCTTCGGTCGGAAAGTATCGCCGCACTTCGTGCGCGTGCACAGGAGCACACTGCCAGAATCCATCAGAAAGGAGACAGGGAAGACGAGAAAGGCAAAGGCGACATTTCAGAAGAGAGCGCCGATGAAGAGAGTCACGACGCCGCCGTGAGACTGCAGGCGACGGAGTTAGCCGAGATGCCTGACTGATAATACTAGGCAGTACTGCTTGTCGTTTGTCTATATCCTGTGTTATTCAGAGACTTTAATTGTGTTAATGTTTCTTGTGTGTTTGAACGATATGAAATTTTACATTCGTACAGTACAGGTTTAGGTACATCTACTCTTCGCATTAAGAGATCTATCATTTTAGGAAAATCTCTGTGTTCATATTCATCATTACCCAGATCACCATATATTGTCTGTATGGTAAACTGCAGTTAACACAAAGGCATTTGAACAGTCGTAGTTCAAGATATCCCTAACTCCATATCAGCACGATGAGGAGTTTGCCAGAATACACCCTACTAATCGATCTGTGGAGTTTGATCTCATTACACATTTTAGTAAACCCGGTAATCTATTTAATCATAATTTATTCGTGTGATTTAAGTTGAAGAATTGTACTGGATGGTGCATTAGTTTCAACTTTGCAGATTTTTTCACAGTTTTCATTTCCATAGGAAAAATTTAACGCATTAAACTCGCTTAAAATCGAGTAATTCGTATTACTCTACGATTCATATTGTTGCAGCCTTCTAGCTTACCACAACTTCTGTACGTGAAACCTTGCTAGCACGTTTGGAACATGAGTCGAGTCGACCGTAGTGCGTGACAAAAGAAGCACCCATATTACACAATAGTGATAAAGTCTAAAGTAAACGTTCCTGAGATTCGGGATTTATAGTTAACCATGTTACATTGTAACCAGGGAAAGAAAGTGTGTGATTATGTTGACTTTCACACCAGAAACGAATTATTTATCAACAATGTATAAAACAAAAAACAGTCACATCACTGTAAAGCGTGCTTTGGACTTGACATGCGTGGCAGGAGGACTGCGTTCTTGCAAGCTTAGAGCACCATGCGCTGATTTGTCGAGTACAAGTCTGGCTTATGTGTCCCTTGTGTAGATTGTGTAGATTGTTGCATTAATTTGAAAATATCCAGATAATATTACTTAAATACTATAAATTATTATGATTATTATCATGGCTTGCGTATTTTACTCTGGTTATCTCGAGATGTGAGTCAATTTTCGAGTAAGACTGAAAGATATGATTCAGTTTGGAGTACTTTCTCGAATTGCCCATTTAGACCAGCTGTATTGACGAGTTTTGTGAGAGAATACGGTAGCGGCTAGTCCAGCGTTATAGTTTCAGATGGGACGCTGGAGAAGAGTAAAATCAGTTGCCCCTTTGTACACTCCTAGTACAATGAAACCTCGTTAGCACAGAACCTGTTAATCCGGAAACATAACCTTCCAAAGAAATACTACCAGGAATCTATATGTTATCGAAGGATTGTATTGTATAGTCAAGGTAATGCGGCAAATTTGTATCTAACCAATTTCGATAGGATTATCACCGTCTGGATTAACGAAGTTTCACTGTATATGACAACATCAGTCATTGCTATACATTGTTTAAAGTGTAGTATGTTTTGGTTTTTTGTTGATTTGTTAAATATATCATTTGAAGTCTAATGCAAATTAAGTTACTCTATTTATTTTCATACACACAGCATTATTACTGTGTCTGTTGAATACACGGTCATTTCTTAAACTGATAAATGAAATATGTTGAACCAAATAAACAAGTGAATGTGAAGGCGTGCTTTTTGTGGTTCCTGGAGCCCATGTTCTCTGTGTTCTCCTTAACGTACATAGAGAAACACACACGTGACAGCGTAAAATACGGCGTATACGTGCTCCTTGCTGCCACGTATAATGGACATATTCTAACATCATTATCTTATTCAGTTGAAAGATACAACAATATAATTAAAAATGACTGACTTATTCTTTCATTTGTCTGCCTGACCTAGCATTTGCTGTTATCGACATTTGCCCAGTATTCGTAGAGGAAAATGTGTGGTTGTTATATTACATTTACTGCTTAAACAGTTCAGATCTGTAATTGTTTTCAAAGATGTTTGTCAGAACTGAGTTGGTTCTATTCACACTTTTAGAAGATAAGGACATTAACAACAATTACACCGGCAAAGAGTCTCTAGTTTACTGTACTTGCAATCAGTGCGTTGATGTTTCACAATTTCATCACTTTACGCTTCACCATTTCGCCCTTTACTTTTCACCATTTCATCCCTTAACTGTTCACCATTTCATCATTTTTACGTTTCACCATTTAATCCCTTGCGTCTCAACACTTCATCATGTTACGTTTCACCACTTCATCTCTTTTACGTTTCACCTTTTCATTATTTTACTTTTCACCATTTCATCATTTTACGTTTCACTATTTCATCATTTTACGTTTCACAATTTCATCAATTGCTTCTCATATTCTGCATTCCATAACATGCTGAAAGGTTGTAAATAACAGAACAACATGGCATTAAGTAATGTTATATGGAATACCCAGCCACCGAAATAAAAATAGCGGTGAAGATTATAATCCCTGAAAATCAAAAGCCTTTGTTGGCGATAACGGTCCATCATTCCTGCTTCACCGGTGGCACCCGCCACTCACTCACACAGTTTGTATAAACAGTATGTATTTGGTGCCTGCATATGACGGTGGCCTGTAAACCAGGCAATGGATGGGTAGTCAAGGAAATACTGTAGTTTTTGCGTATTTACTAATGTTACAGAGATTAAAAGCGACACGTTAGTTTGGTATCACGTCTGAAACGTAAAGTGCAGAGGTTCTTCTACTTGTCGAGAGAAAAATATGTTTGTTTTACAACACAGTGTGAGGCAACCCAGGTCTTCAGCATAACTGATCGATATGTGTACACAGATTTTAGCGACGGATTAGGTACAACATTTGTGCAATCCTGGAGGAGGGTGGAGGGGGCATTGAAAATATTAAATATTGAAACGTTATTTACTTTTCTCAAGAAGATAAGAAAGACTAAGTTCTTCCTCCTTCCAACTTCAGCATCTCAGAATGCGGATTCGTTGGTCACGTTACACTGGTATAATGTGTATTGACAACTGAAACGGATACGAGTATGGTGAAATAGGATGTATTTCCCTATGATGGATTTTTTATTGTATCTATAACTGTGTACACAATGAACGCAACTTGATTTCCTTTTCACACTGAGTAATACAGTCTGTATCTGTAATGCATGTACCAGAGTATGACCGTAGTGATCTTAACTGCAATTCGCTTGCAAGTCACAATGCTTCTCAGTGTAGCCCTACCTTGATGTATCTATTAGTGTTATGTAATCACTGTCCTGATATAATATTATGTAAATATCATATTATGTATTGTATTGTGTTGTTACTTTATTACTCTGTGTGCACTTACATATTATAGCAATCACTGCCAAAACAGTTTCATTCTAAAATTACCCTGATGCACGACTATCATATGCAGTGCATGAATTTTCATTAATTATGCATATACCTTTAATGGTTACCAGGTGTGAAGAGGTCACCTCTCCTTAGTTCCCCGGGCAGTGAAATTGTTCAATGAGGTCGTCATAGAGCCTTTATCAATGCTTTGATTGACACATGTCATAATTAGTCAGGTGAGTGGAATAGACACGACGTCGACACGAACAAAGCAAGGTACATATCGTCGATAATGTATAATTACCAGAATCACAGAGTTCTTCCTTTTCATTTTAATTTGTAATGCATCTCTACAAATTAGTCCGGCGTGACGCTATCATGATCCGCTGAAAAGATTCCATTTTTTTCTGATCAAAAATTGACATTGGATCTTGGCGCCTTGTGCGATTTCCTAACGAAGAAGGTCGCTCCAGATTCTTCGAGTTTATTAGGAAAAAGGAGTAAATTTGAGAACAATTATGAACTTGATGCACTTTACTCGTGCCTTTTTCGACTGATAATAATACAGCATTTTGTCTCCCGGTTCTTCGAGATTTGATTACAATTTCCCTGCTTATTAGCCGTTAATATGGCAGCCCGCTGAGCAGCGTGGTACGATTAGGGAATGAAGCTTATTATCTCCCCTCATTAGCTCTTCAGTCTGTAACAGATAGTGCAGCACGTGTTGGAAACCAGCCTTCATCAACTGCCTTTAATGTCATTCAGTACTTTTGGCGTTTTTAAAGGGCCCTTTCGGCAGAAGAAATGACATCCACGTTCCTATAACACCCCAAACAAATCGTCACACGTGAACTGCTCTCCGGATGCCCGCCGAAGTCCTTTGTAAGCGGCCATTACTGTATGCACTTGGCCATTGCGCATGCGTAGAGGGATTTGCGCTAATCCTCCCGTACACCTGGCTGCTAATCAAGAGAAACATGGTTCTTTTTTGGTTCAGATCAAATAACGCTATACCATTCAAAGTACCACTTTTTCAATGTTTGAGCATTTTATCATAACACCTTTTTTGCTTTCCTACTAATTACGAGTTGTTTTACTTAGAATCGCGTGCTTTACGAAGACACCACAAGCGGCTAATAAGTACAATGTTTAAATCTGCTGTCATTGCCTTCTTAAAAGTTTACCTAAATACTTTCCACAATAATCCTAATAACGTCTTGTTTTGTTAAACTACCCGTCTCAAAGCCAATTTAAATAGCTATTATCTCACATTTTCCTTGCTAATGATCACTTATTCAATAGAGGATCAACAATTGGGTTATAGAAGGATATTTGAAATATAATTCGCGATATAGGTTTCATGCCATCGAGATCGCATCAAGCATCAAACATCAAACATAAACCATCGCTGTACAGAGTCGACATAAACAATAACGATCCGCTGAAGATTCCTTGTTTGACATGCACCCTTGTCAGCCTGATCTAGTCAACAACGTGGCACAGTAGTAACCTGACACCTGATCAGGAGCGAGCTCCTTAATGCTGCATAAGCACTTTCCAGCCTATTCCCAGAGTACATTTTTAGGGGATACTTTTTGCCAATAATGTGTTTTTGTTATCGAGTGTGGTGCATTTGGAATAAACATATTCAGCCTTTAATTTTCAAGAGTTCTTTATTACTACCAGAAATCACAAAAATCTTCGATAATTTACCAATTCAATTCGTTTGTTATGATGCCTATACTAACTACGAGCGGCAAAACCCTTTTAAGAACTCTCTGCTGAAAGTAGCGTCGATTGCACAATACTGACTATATAATGGTCATGTGTTCGTGAATCACTATCAGCAAGTGATGATACTATAGGTATTCGCGAAAAGGTGAGCATGTTCTGTCCTACCGGCGGCACATGTCACAGACAAATGCAAAAGTAATTCACAAGATATAGGAACTTCGGAACATACAGTACATGTCAAACTAGTGACTTGCATCAGTCATCATGCAAATATGGAAAAGTCCTCCACAAAACTTCAGAAAGCTTCACTGAGGCCTGATGGTGGTAACCTTTGTAGAAGGTAATCTGGTATTGAGGTTAGGGTTTTACATACTAACTGTTACAAATACTTTTGTATTTGTGCATGTCGATAGAGACATTGTCATTATATTAATTGTTTGATCGGCATTCTAGAAGTTGGTAAGTCAAAAATGAAACATACAACTTTATGGTTGACAACTTCTTGTTTATTGCATTAAGCGACGTTTCGATGTAGATTCTTACATCGTTACCAAGCTAAAAGCTTCACCATTGTCACCAGTTAGAACAGTATTCCACACCTTACAACAGTGGCAATTCAACAGAAATGTGATGGTGTTTGGCCGCCTACAGGAACAGCATCCTTAACAACATGAACATACCATGTATAAATTGCTGTTAATTTTCTATGAATGAGAACTAGACTCTATTCAATTCAACAAATGCATGGCTTGGACTACTACTGCAACTACCCCTACTACTACTATTACTACTACTACTACTACTTTTCGTCTTGTTCTTCAACGACAACTGCTGCTGCTGCCACTAATGTGGCCAAACCATACCCAAAATTTAGCCAAAACCTTATTTGAGAGGTTTTCAGAAAATATTTGAACAAGAGTTAATCACTGAATCAGACACAGAACGTGAACTGTTCAAACAACTAGTCTCTGAAATGAACATATTTTACAGATAAAATAGTTCATATTAAAAAAATAGGATAAAATGAAAAGGAGCCCTGGGACTTTCTTCGTTTTCAGACTAGACTTGCCATATATTCTAGATTTTCATGGGCTTTCTTTGATATATTTGTTCAGGGTCTGTATGACTACAGATATCATGGTGTACAGGGGATTCTAGCCCCGTATAATGTCGCTCTCATGTCGATCCGATTCTGGGTTCATTAAGTGCAAACATACATCAATAAAATATATAAGAATATGTAATTAATACAATAGTCGGTATAAATCTTGGAATATTTGAATTTAAACACGCAACCCATTACATACGATGAAGCCAATTACTTTTAGAAAATGTGCATTAAATTCTTGATGTCGTACTTGATCTAAAGACACTTGACAAAAACGCACTCCATGAATAATTCGCAGATATAATTCATAATAAAAATTAACTTCACGTGATATCGAAATATACTCATGCCAATAATGGTTGTCACGACCCTCCCCACCCCCACCCCCCACACACCCCACCCCTCTCCAATTAAAAAATTTGAAGGGGGTGACAACCATTATTGGCATGAGTATATCTTAGTCCTTAAGAAACGTAATACATGTTTAAAAATATGACCGT